GCCCCACAGTGGAGGTGTCATAATACCCATTAAACCTAGCCGTCAAACAGGAAGATGGTTCCAATCGTTTTTCCACCATTCATTTTTCCCATAGGGGATTTTAGAAACACTTAAAATAAGGGCTGTGTTTCATGTAGGCTTACCTTGGCGTGAGGTTTTGATAACCATGTAAACCTCTCTTAAACAAGGTGACTTTTATCAATAGACTCACTGAATAAATGTGTTTGGCACAGGATAAAGATGAAACGATCTGCTGCCGCTAACCAAAGCCAAGGGATACTGAAGTTCCTGAAAAGGTTAGTCAGGCAGTTTTTTAGTCAAGTAATCTTTTATTTCCAACTCTGGTGATTATTTACTTAAAAATAAAAAACCTACAAAACACGTTTGTCCAACCATAACAGATGGATGGCTAATACAGAAAGAATGAATTTATGGATTCTAGCTACATCAACCATAGCTTTCACATATACAGAGACAGGCAGCTATCATGGCAGCAGTCTTTTTTTGACTAGCTAGTGACACCTACTGATATGAACTGGTAATGCAAATTTGGTTAGAATACATTAACATTTCAGTCATTTAGCAGATGCTCTTATCCAGAGCGACTTACAGTTAGTGAGTGCATACATTTTCATACTGACCCCCCGTGGGAATCGAACCCACAACCCTGGCGTTGCAAACGCCATGCTCTACCAACTGAGCTACACGGGACCATAGAGTGCAATAGAATGATTGACATTCAATAAAATCTACTTCATGAAAAGGGGGATATTATTTTCAAAGAAAATGTTGAAAGCAGTTGATTTAATGACTGAATATATGGATTTTACAGGCAATCAGTTCCTACAGTGAGCCCCAGAAAACAAACCTCTGTTGGGCCAGGACAACAACAATAGGTTAGTGGTTTTGCGCATGAAAAAAAAGTTATTACAAAGTCTACTGTGTTAAATGTAACTCTGCCTTACATAAATCTTATACAATGAATAATTGCAGAAGAGCACTGTAATCAGATGAACAAATAATAGGTTTTATGTCATAAAATGTAAACCTGTCTTTTTTATTTTTCAAAGTCCATTGCTAAAAAAAATTTATAGAGGGGAAATAAATATATATTTAAAGACATTGTAACCATTCTTTGAATAACGCTCATCCCTGCGATAGTAGTTCACTAAACTACAGAGTATGTTGTCCATTGAAGTTGTTGTCTCTGGCTCTTTTGAAATCAGATTCAGAATGAGTAAGAGCAAGGTTTGTGGTAGTATGAAAGAGTTTGATCTACCTTAGGCCAGGAGCGTTTCCAATTCGCATAACCTGACAAGAAACCCCCCTGTCCTATAGTCATAGCACAGATGAAAAGGGAAGCTATCTAAAATAATAATATTTTGTCATGGCCTACGAATAGGACACAGAGTTATACCTGACCAGGTCATGAGATCAGGAAACACTCTAGGCCCTAGAAAAGACATTTACAAATTTTGCCACACCACTTTCAAACCTGTGGTGCCACCTCTGGCTAATGAGGTGCAGTTCGAGAACGATTAGTTATTTTTAATGACTCGAGAGTCATGAACTCATTATATATTTTTTCCTGAGTGACTCATTTTAATAATAAAATAATAATATGCCATTTAGCAGACTTAGTTGTTAGTTTGACCTACTGGCCGCAATGAATTATACAGCAAGATTAATATGCGATCCTCTGGTGGTGTGCTCCGACCAACAACTGTCTGTCACATGCACTCAGGCAAAATAGATCATGCTGCAGGCAGCATAGAGAATAAAAATATGTTTATAACTGATAAATGATTGCATGGTGCAAGACTGAATGCAATTAATTGATTATTGAATGTTATGATGGACACAGCTTTGTAGAACCAAAACATAAACAGCCTCTGCTCAACAAATTTGAGAACGAATCGTATGGGGTGCTGCAGTTCGAACAATACTGTGCTTATTACCTTCATGGCAGTAAAGCAATGCATTCCACCAAGACTCGTTCACAATCTAGTCCGGTTGCGGCCAACCTAGACCTTGTTTCAAATGTACCAAGAAATAATGGTATTTGTATGCCTAGCAATCAACAAATGTACATTGTTTAAAGCATGCTTTTACAGTCTCACTCAAAAATTACAGCTTAGGGTTGCAAAGGCAGTGATTCCTATGTTGAAGATGTAAAGAATATTTGCAGGTCTGTGGTGTGTAATGAGGAGCAACCAGATGCAGCACTTGACACATTTATGAAATGTCTTATTCCAGTTGCTAATAAGCATGCATCCATTAAGAAAACGACTGCAAAAACTGTAAATCCCCATGGATTGATGAGGAATTGGAAAATGGTATGGTTGAGAGGGATGAGGCAAAATTAATGGCAAATAAGCCTGGCTGCACAGCTGATTGGCAAACGTACTGTACAGAAAATTGAGAAATCATGTGAACAAAAAGAAGAAGAAACTGTACTATGAAACCAAGATCAACGATATGAAGAATGATAGTAAAAAGCTTTGGAGCACCTTAAATGAAATTTTGGGAAAAAAGGCAAACTCCGCTCCATCATTCATTGAATCAGATGGCTCATTCATCACAAAACCCACTGATATTGCCAACTACTTTAATGATTTTTTCATTGGCAAGATTAGCAAACTTGGGTATGACATGCCAACAACAAATTCTGAACCTACACATCCATGCATAACTGATCAAATTATGAATGAAAGCGTTGACATTTTGAATTCCGTAAAGTGAGTGTGGAAGAGGTGAAAAACGTGTCAGCGGACGGACGATATTGCAACTCCTATTTGCCATCTCTTCAATCTAACCCTACAGGAAAGTGTGTGCCCTCAGCCCTGGAGGGAAGCAAAAGTCATTCCACTACCCAAGAATAGCAAAGCAACCTTTACTGGCTCAAACGGCCGACCAATCAGCCTGTTACCAACCCTTAGTAAACTATTTCACAGTAAACAAATTAACAACAGATTTTCAGCACGCTTATAGGGAAGGGCATTCAACATGTACAGCACTTACACAAATTACTGATGATTGGCTGAGAGAAATTGATAATAAAAAGATTGTGGGAGCTGTTTTGTTAGACTTCAGTGCAGCTTTTGACATTATTGATCATAATCTGCTGCTGGAAAGAACATAAGTGTTATGGCTTTACATCCCCTGCTATATTGTGGATCGAGAGTTACCTGTCTAACAGAACACACAAGGTGTTCTTTAATGGAAGCCTCTCCAACATAATCTAGGTAGAGTCAGGCATTCCCCAGAGCATCTGTTTAGGCTCCATACCTTTTCAATCTTTACTAATGACCTGCCACTGGACCTGAGTAAAGTCTGTGTGTCTATGTAAACTGATAACTCAACACTATACACATAAGCTACCACAGCAGGTGAAATCACTGCAACACTTAAGAGCTGCAGTCAGTTTCAGAATGGGTGGCAAGAAATAAGTTAGTCCTAAATACATGTATTTCAAAAACTAAAGGCATTGTATTTGGGACATAACATTAAAACAAAACCCTAAACCTCAACTAAATATTGTAATGAATAATGTGCAATTTTAACAAGTTGAGGAGACTAAACTTCTTGGAGTTACCCTGGATTGTAAACTGGCATGGTCAAAACATATTGATACAACAGTAGCTAAGATGGGGAGACATCTGTCCATAATAATAATAATAAGTCATTTAGCAGACGCTTTTATCCAAAGCGGACTTACAGTCATGTGTGCATACATTTTTACGTTTGGGTGGTCCTGGGGATCGAACCCACTACCCTGGCGTTACAAGCGCCATGCTCTACCAATTGAGCTACAGAGGACCACAAGCACTGCTCTGCCATCTTAACGCAGGTTCTACAGGCCCTTGTTTTGTCGCACCTGGACCACTGTCCAGTCGTGTGGTCAGGTGCCACAAAGAGGGACTTAGGAAAAATTACAATTGGCCCAGAACCGGGCAGCACGGCTGGCCCTTAAATGTACACAGAGAGCTAACATTATTATGCATGTCAATCTCTCATGGCTCAAAGTAGAGGAGAGATTGACTTCATCACTACTTGTATTTGTGAGAAGTATTGACATGTTGAATGCACCAAGCTGTCGGTTTAAACTACTAGCACACAACTCAGAAACCCATGCATACCTCACAAGACATGCCACCAGAGGTCTCTTCACAATCCCCAAGTCCAGAACAGACTATGGGAGGTGCACAGTACTACATAGAGCCATGACTACATGGAACTCAATTCCAAATCAAGTAACTCATGCAAGCAGTAAAATCTGATTTAAAAAACTGTGAAGAGACACACACACACATGCATGATAACATACACACTACAGACACACACACACATGGATTTTGTGTTGTAGATGTGGTAGTAGAGTAGTGGCCTGAGGGCAAACACTTAATGTGTTGTGAAATCTGTTTTGAATTGTAATCTTGTTTTTATTGTATATAACTGCCTTAATTTTGCTGGACCCCAGGAAGAGTAGCTGCTGCCTTGACAGCAGCTAATAGGGCTCCATAACAAATACAACGGGAGGGTATATTACTGAAGATGTTGGTAAATTAAGGAGTATGGAAATTGTCATGCTGCTCTGGGCATTACCAACTCAAATGAACGAAGAGAACTGTGCCATAACAGCTGGCTCATGGATTTACCGAGCAGGGCGCAACGGTTTGATTGACGCCTAGGCCATCTAATGATACACTTTTGAAATGTGCAGGGTCAATTAAAGGCTACATCAACTGTAGTTACCCATTTCACTCTGTTATGGACCTAGAGTTGACAGTTGGACCCTGAATTGACATGGCACTATTACAAGATATGGTGAAGGACACCCTCTGTGGTCAGAGGTAATGTCCTTTATAAATCTCATGTTAACTTCTTCCTATTGTTATGACCATCAAAGTCAATAGTAAGTCTACAATTCAGTATTAAATCATTTCCACAGCAAAAACAAAGAATGCAACTAGCATATGTATTAAGAAACCGAAAGTGAATCCAGCGCAAAAGGTTTTATTCAGTGCAGATAAAAAATGACTAGTTACACTTATAGATGACCCGTGTACTGGGTATTGAGATGTTCAGTAAGACAGAGCAAAGCACCTGAATAGACTGATACAACATCAAATTACTCCAGGTGGCAACACTTAGAAAACATCAGCAACAACTTGTGACTTTTTTACTTAATTGTTTTACAAGATGCCTTCCCTCCAAAATCAAATAGTGTTGTCAACAAAACAAACTCAATGTTACAGCTGTGTTGCACTGCGCAGTACCAGTTTAACGCTCTGCCCTCCCTAGAAATGTAAAGCCAGTAGGATATCTCAGAGAAGCCAGGAGTCCTGGTCTGAGGCTGGAGGCTGTAGCCTGGACGTGGTTTAGCTCTGGCCTTCCAGGGTGTGCTTGTCAAACAGGTACTCGGCCATCTTGTTGTTGACAGCATCCATCTTAGTGAGGTTGGTGACGTGGTCGCCCAGCTTCTTAATGGCCTCCACCTGTTCATTCAGGTAGTGGGACTCCAGGAAGTCACACAGCTAAAGGAGGAAAACACAGGTCAGACAAGAGAATAACTACAGCCACTACTGTAGATGCAGTAACACACAGAGCCTGGTGGTAATGACATAAGGGCAGATAACTAACTCAATGAGGTGTTTGCAGCGGTCCCGACTCCTGCATGAGCTGCATTTTGTCTGTGTAAAGTGTGTGCATCCTGTTTGTGTGCATCTGTGGGCTATTGTGTTTGGGTGAAGAGGCAGGTCACACGAGCCTGTGTCATTAGTTAGCAGAGCTACAACAACCTGATCAGCTCCTGGGACAGTACAGTGGCAGTATTCTATGTGATGTACATTAATGTGTGTGGTTCCACCATAACATGGGGGACAATACTTACATGAGGGTCGACCTTGTCGGTGGCAAGTTTGTGCAGGTCCAGCAGGGCCTGGTTGACTGTCTTCTCCAGCTGCAGAGCACACTGCATGGCCTCCAGGCCATTGCCCCACTCATCACGATCTGGCTTCTACACAGGACAGGAGGGAACACAGGAGGGTTAGGGAGTTCTAGCATAAGTATTTCTATGCATGACTAAAAGTCGACATTTAAAAATCAGTATATCTGGCACAAAACTGGAACCAATGGGGTCAATTTAACACATCCTGTCACTACGAACAACTACATATGCTCAGGTTTATGAAGCACATATAAATGGGTCCGGTGTGGCTCAGTTGGTAGAGCATGGCGCTTGCAATGCCAAAGGTTGTGGGTTCACCTCCTGCTGGGGCCACCTATACGTAAAATGTATACCGGCCAGTATTAGGTAACCACCCAGTTCACAAAAATGGATCGCTCCTACAGACTGAGTCACGTGGCCGTAGCTTGCGATATAAAGCAGGCATTGAGGCAGTCAGTTACTGTTTGATTGGATGGGCAAAACGAGCAACCTGAGCGTGGTATGAAAGTCGTTGCCAGCATCTCAGAAACGTCCGCCCTCCTGTGTTCTCACGCACAACAGTATTAAGGGTTTAACAAGAATGGTGGACAAACAAAAAACATCCAGTCAGTGGCAGTCCTGTGGGCGAAAACAGCTCGTTGATGAGAGGTCGAAGGAGAATGGCAAGAACTGCTAACAGGCGGGCCAAAAATGGACAAATAACAGCGCATCTCGGGAACGCACAACTCGTCGATCCTTGTCACGGATGGGCTATTGCAGCAGATGCCCACACCGGGTTCCACTCCTATCAGCTAAAAACAATAACAAGAGGCTCCAGTGGACAATTGAGTGGAAAAACATCACCTGGAACATGACAGCGAGTTCAGTTTACTTAACTGCCAGTCCACAGACCTCAACCAAATAGAGAATCTTTGGGATGAGATGGAACGGGCTGTTCGCAGCATGAATATACCGCCATACAATCTGCAGCAACTGCCTGATGCCATCGCATCAGCATGGACCAACATCCCTGTGGAACCTTGTAAAATGCAGGCAGTTCTGGAGGCAAAGGGGGGTGGGGTCAGAGTAGATGGGTGTACCTAATACATTTAACCCCTTCACTACTTATTTATTTTGTACTGACTATGCACACGCCAACACTACATACGCTCACTCACACAAAACACACGCATATTGATGCCACACATCCTGATTGCTTTGTCACCTTTACCCCTACCTACATGTACATACTGTATTACCTCAACTACCTCGTACCCCTGCACATTGTCTCGGGAACTGGTACTTCTTGTATATAGCCTCGTTATTATTTTTGTGTTACCATTTCCTTTTTTATTTAGCAAATATTTTTCATTTTTAACTCTGCATTGTTGGGAATGCGCTCGTAAGTTAGCATTTCACTGTAAAGTCTACACCTGTTGTATTCGGCGCATGTGACCAATATAATTTAATTTGAAAATGGCCAGTGAGTGAATATTATATTAACATTGGGAGAGTTTGATAGTGGCTCGAGTTACACCCCTCATGCTCTTTCAGTTCAGTGGTTATGAAGGAATGGAGGCAGTGTGTTTAGAACTAAGCAGTCAAGACATTATCACCTCTGGCCACCTTGCTCTAATACCAGGGTAGCCACACAGGGCGTGCCTTACAATGAACTCAGTATTAACATGAATGATTACTCATCAAAACAAGTTGAAATATTATTTCTGTCTTTCTTCCCATAGATTATAGATCAACCACTTGGTTCCAGGTCGAACCTTTTCAACTGAGATATAATCCTTTAAGAACAATTTCTACCAGAGAACCCTCGTTTCTGAAGAATTGAAGTTTTTGTTGTTGCGCAGTATACAACTTATGTGTTTCGACGCTCAGTGGCCCCACCTTGATGTCCTGGAGGAAAATGCGTCCACCTCTCTTGTTCTGGAAGGAGAGCAGCTTGTCGGCGTGCTCGCGCTCCTCGTCGCTGTTCTCCTTGAAGAAATGAGCGAAGCCAGGCAGAGCCACATCGTCACGGGAGAAATAGAAAGCCTGGGTGGATAGACACAAAACAGTGTGGTTAGAAAGACATGTCAAACATGACTCAGCACTCTGTTATTGTGGCATCTAAACTTGATTGACACAGCAATATGATCCTGAAACTCATTAGCCTACTTAGTAATTTGCCAATTAACCTATCAAGGAGGTGTTACACTTTGTCCTAGGATAGATTTATCAGCTTTATTTGAATGATAGGTCTACCTGAAGGCTGTTATTTGCCTAGGCCTACAGAAAAGTCAGACGAAAAAAAAAAAGACTAGGTAGAGCAACAAAATGGTCAGCTTGGTAGCCAATTGCAGTCTCCTTACCATCGAAGTGTAGGTGTAAGAGGCAAACATCTCCATGTTGATCATCCGGTTGATGGCAGCTTCGCAATCGCGGTGATAGTTCTGACGGACCTGAGACACCATTTTGGCAGATTTTCTCCTTTTATATCAAAATGAACGGTACAAAAATAGAGTTTCTTAGACAATGTTGCTATTAGAGTTCAAGCAAGTGTTACGTTATCAATCCAGAATGTTATATAGGGCAGAAGAGTTCCGTTCAATCACTGTTGAAGCAAGAACTTCTTCATGCGTCTTCCCAGAGATGTGGAGGTGAAGAAGCCTTGTTCGCTCTATTTATTGTTCCAAACGGAATGCGTCAGTGAAATCGACCCTCACAGAGCGCAGCCAATCACGTTTAGAATTTCAACAGAAAAGAGGCGGATAATTTGATGACGATCTCACTCATATGCATGACCTAAAGCACAGATGATGTATTATATTGACAAGATAGCCGAGTGACCGCTCTAACAATGGAAATATATGTGCTCTATGATTGAAGACAGGCAAGATCAGGTGGGACCATTCTAGCCTATGAGAGGGCAGGTACGCGTGTGAACAACAGGCACAACTAAACGTAGTTTTTCTCAAAGTTGCCAGAATGCCACGTGCATCCACATATATCAGTACATTTGTAAAAGCTTAAACATTACGAAACTTCTATTCGATCAAAAGCCTCAGGTAATTCTACACTCTCATAAACCTCCATACAAAAACGGGTTTATCTCACGCGGACAGATTTAGGGTTCGGTAAATCCTCTCGCTTCCACCTCTTCATCTCAGCCTGAAGAAATCAATGTTCAATACAAAGTAACATTTGATTGATAACATCTGAAACAGTAGTATCAACCAAAAGCAGTGCTACAGTGTAGGTCTAACTACAGCGGCTATTGTTGCAAAATGTGTGTGTTTTATATTCTTAGAAGAAAATAGGAAGAATTTGAACATTAATTCTAATAATAGGCTAATTGAGAAATAGCCTAGGTCTACATTTTATTTAGGCTATAAAAGGAATTTAACTTTGCTCCTCTATGGCTGTGACGCAGTTCTGTAAACGTCTGTTTCATTCTCTAAGAGCACATGTTTCAGTAGCATATGTAGCCTAATTATTTACCTTTTTCAGAATGCAGTCAAAAGAAAAACTGCAGGGTTTATCACACTTTAAAAAAATATATCAATTCAATTTGAAGTATAGGAATAGAGTACGTGGAGAGCAACAGAAATGTTGGCTTTTGTAGAAAAGGAATTTGATGATACACCTTTTGGTTTCAAATGACATATTGTAGTTGACAAATGGTTTATCAAAGTTGATCACATTAGCCTCCAAATAACTACACAAAATCACTAGCTACATACATCTACATTACATTACATTACATTTACGTCATTTAGCAGACGCTCTTACCCAGAGCGACTTACAGTTAGTGAATTCACATATATATATATTTTTTTATACTGGCCCCCCGTGGGAATCGAACCCACAACCCTGGCGTTGCAAACGCCATGCTCTATCAACTGAGCTACATCCCTGCCGGCCATTCCCTCCCCTACCCTGGACGACGCTGGGCCAATTGTGCGCCGCTCATGAGTCTCCCGGTCGCGGCCGGCTGCGACAGAGCCTGGATTCGAACATCTAACCATACACAGGTTATTAAGCTAAAACTGTGAAGTGGAAAACAGTTATCAGCTAATGAAAATTAAAATACACAGTAATAAGGTAACCTTCCTAACAACAGGAAAACGCTCATCCAGAGGCAGCGCTCCTAGTGGCCGGGGACTTTAATGCAGGGAAACTCAAATCCGTTCTACATAATTTCTACCAGCATGTTAAATGTGCAACCAGAGGAAAAAAAAACTCTAGACCACCTTTACTCCACACACAGAGACACATACAAAGCTCTCTCTTGCCCTCCATTTGGCAAATCTGACCATAACTCTATCCTTCTGATTCCTGCTTATAAGCAAAAACCAAAGCAGGAAGCACCAGTGAATCGGTTAATAAAAAAGTGGTCAGATGACGCAGATGCTATTACAGACTACAAAGGGAAGCACAGCCGCGAGCTGCCCAGTGACACAAGACTTCCAGACGAGCTAAACCACTTCTATGCTCGCTTCGAGGCAAGCAACACTGAAGCATGCATGAGAGCACCAGCTGTTCCGGATGACTATGTGATCACGCTCTCCGTAGCCAATGTGAGAAAGACTTTTAAGCAGGTCAACATTCACAAGGCCGCAGGGCCAGACGGATTACCAGGACGTGTACTCCGAGCATGTGCTGACCAACTGGCAAGTGTCTTCACCGACATTTTCAACATGTCCCTGACTGAGTCTGTAATACCAACATGTTTCAAGCAGACCACCATAGTCCCCGTGCCCAAGGACACTAAGATAACCTGCCTAAATGACTACCGACCCGTAGCACTGACGTCTGTAGCCATGAAGTGCTTTGAAAGGCTGGTCATGGCTCACATCAACACCATTATCCCAGAAACCCTAGACCCACTCCAATTTGCATACCGCCCCAACAAATCCACAGATAATGCAATCTCTATTGCACTCCACACTGCCCTTTCCCACCTGGACAAGAGGAACACCTACGTGAGAATGGTATTCGTTGACTACAGCTCAGCATTCAACACCATAGTGCCCTCAAATCTCAACACTAAGATAAGGATCCTGGGACTAAACACCTCCCTCTGAACCTTGATCCTGGACTTCCTGACGGGCCGCCCCCAGGTGGTAAGGGTAGGTAACAACACATCTGCAACGCTGATCCTCAACATGGGGGCCCCTCAGGGGTGCGTGCTCAGTCCCCTCCTGTACTCCCTGTTCACCCATGACTGCATGGCCAGGCACGATTCCAACACCATCATTAAGTTTGCCGACGACACAACAGTGGTAGGCCTGATCACAGACAACGATGAGACAGCCTATAGGGAGGAGGTCCAAGACCTGGCCGTGTGGTGCCAGGATAACAACCTCTCCCTCAACGTGACCAAGACAAAGGAGATGATTGTGGACTACAGGAAAAAAAAGAGGACTGAGCACGCCCCCATTCTTATCGACAGGGCTGTAGTGGAACAGGTTGAGAGCTTCAAGTTCCTTGGTGTCCACATCACCGACGAACTATCATGGTCCAAATACACCAAGACAGTCGTGAAGAGGGTACGACAAAGCCTATTCCCCCTCAGGAGACTGAAAAGATTTGGCATGGGTCCTCAGATCCTCAAATAATTCTACAGCTGCACCATCGAGAGCATCCTGACTGGTTGCATCACCGCCTGGTATGGCAACTGCTCAGCCTCCGACCGCAAGGCACTACAGAGGGTAGTGGGTACGGCCCAGTACATCCTTGGGGCCAAGATTCCTGCCATCCAGGACCTCTATACCAGGCGGTGTCAGAGGAAAGCCCTCAAAATTGTCAAAGATTCCAGCCACCCTAATCATAGACTGTTCTCTCTGCTACCGCACGGCAAGCGGTACCGGAGTGCCAAGTCTAGGTCCAAAAGACTTCTCAACAGCTTCTACCCCCAAGCCATAAGACTCCTGAACAGCTAATCATGGCTACCCGGACTATTTGCACTGCCCCCCCACTCCATCTTTTTACGCTGCTGCTACTCTGTTCATTATTTATGCATAGTCACTTTAACTCTACCCACATGTACATATTACCTCAACTACCTCAATTAGCCGGTGCCCCCGCACATTGACTCTGCACCGATATCCCCCTGTATATATAGCCTCCCTACTGTTTTTTTATTTTACTTTTGCTCTTTTTTCCTCAACACTTTTTTGTTGTTGTTTTATTTTACTTTTTTATAAAAAAATTAATGCATTGTTGGTTAAGGGCTGTAAGTAAGCATTTCACTGTAATGTCTACACCTGTTGTATTCGGTGCATAACATTTGATTTGATTTGATTTGAACTTTTCCATAACTGCTGACATGGTGCTTTCAGGGTGCTGGGTTATTGCTCAATACAGCCATGTAACTGCAACATCATTGGGATTCATAAGAACTAGGTATTCTGGGGCATTAGGTATCAAGTGTCTCAGATTAAGAGTGCTGATTCAGGATCAGTTTTGCCTTTTAGATCACACTGAATAACATTACATGTAATCCTATTCTGACAACAGGCTTGATACATTTATACTGCCCCTGGTCTGTACTGGCCTAGTATGTAAGGTAGCGCCTCTACTCCAATTGTTTGAGAACAGAACCCCCCTTTTCCTAGTATGTAACCCAAAACAGGCTCTATCTATCAGTTTGTCATAGCTACTATCTAGGTTCATTGTTTGTTGAAAAATGATAAAGCTGCTTCAAATTGGGGTAAGGGTCTTTCAACATAGATAGCCCTTGAAGTGTGTGCACTGCTCTCTGTTACTTTGATCAACTGTTCTAGACTGAACCTCACTTTATAGCGTAATGTTTTAATTATGAGCGCAAACAACGTTTTGGAGACCGGTGTTACAAAAGGGCTGTGACATACTTGGAATTCTTTTTTAAATTAATTAATTAATTAAACCTTTATTTAACCCACTTTTGTTGTTGTTGTGAAAAGTGACCACTTTTTGACTAAATGATGTGTCATGCTTAAAGGATAAGTTTGGGTGAGCGTATAACAAGGTTGCTTCAAACTCGTCACGGACAACTTTAGCATTTTTGCTAATTAGCAACTTTGCAACTATTTACTACTTTTGAGCTACTTTGCAACTACTTAGCATGTTAGCTAACCCTTCCCCTTCCCCTAACCTTAACCCTTTAACCTAACTCCTAACCTTAACCCTAACCTGAACCCCTAAGCCCTAGCCTAGCTAACGTTAGCCACCTAGCTAACGTTATCCTCCTAGCCACCGAGCTAACGTTAGCCACAACAAATTGGAATTCGTAACATATCATATGTTTTGCAAATTCCTAATATATTCTAGAAATTGCAATTCGCAACATGTTGTACGAGTTGCAATTCATAACATCATACGAATTGTAATTTGTAACATAGCATATGAAATGGATGATGGACATCCACAAATGAATACATACCATACAAAACGTAACATATCATACTAATTGGAGTATACCGGATTTACATTTACAATGTTACGTCTACCCCTGAGTACAGGTTGTTCTAAGTGACCTTGTTTTAGCAGAGGGGCAAACATAGCATTAAAATGGCATTTTAAAAATAATTTTCTTAATTTTTTTATGCAAATCTTTTCTGGAATGTTCAACCCACGGAACCTGTGTTAAGTTGTTAAAGTCACGAGCGGGTCCATCATGTGACCAGCCGCACAAAGGTATAAACAGTTAAGTAATACTGTAAATGGTTAACCATTACAGAACTCTTTCTATTGAAGTTCTGAAGGGTGACACAGTGTTTTTGTCTGTACTCTTTCCCCCTCCCCCCTCTTCCTAATGTTCCCTCCCATTCTTATTCATGTCATAGCCTCCTG